CTTTTAATGTTTTTTTTTCGTTAAACCTAGTCACTCGTGGGATACCTGTTCTTGAAAATATGGAATTTTGGAAAACGTGCAGTAATAGAGCGCATAGCGCTTATTTTAAGAAAAAAAGCCTTGAAGTATGGTTTCTAACACCGGTATATCGGCAAGGGAAAGTGCTCAGAATTATAAAACAGAACCGGATTTTTTATAGCTCACCGAGTCTTGACGCCTTCTCTTCTAAATAAAGGTTACGAGGACTTTTTGAAGTTAAGATGGGAATGGAGGAAAGCAAAGGATGATATGATGTTAAGGATAGCATATGAAAAAGAACAGAGTTGGTTAGTTTCTTAGTGAACAATCCACGTTTTCAATTCTTTTTCATCGCAATTTTTTTTTAAATTTATTGATTCCAACCCCAGGATCATCAGAAAAAGTTAGGTACTGATTGTACATGCAGTATTCGACAGATTTCTACGTATTTATACAATATGGGCGAAAATTTAAAGGAAATTAAATATTGAATTACTTCTTGAGGCAGACTGAATAAAGTTTGCATTTTATTATGAGCAACTTTCTTACTCGCTCCATTAGCTTAAAAGCTGCGCTCCCACTCTCTTAACTCCCAAGTGCTACAGGATAATTTAATGTCAGATTACACAACCATCTTATAGTATTTGCACTAAACATTTCTCTATAAGATTGTTCTGAACACTTAGCAGAGATGTTATCACAAGAGGCAACTGTAGGAATAAGCTGTAAATAAAAAGACTTGGCTGCCATCAAATCGGTCTTGAGCTATGTGGGACACGCATAAGGCTGCATAAGTTTTGAACACTTCGTTGTCGGTTTCGAGCAGATCATATAGGCAGGCTAGAGTTATAAACATAATCTAAAATGCCATAACATTAAAGGTTCAAAATCAATGTGTAACATAAGGTTAACATAAGGTTCAAAAAATTAATGTGTACTTAACAGTGAGATTAGAAAATTTGCTGGATATTTTTAAAGTACCATGTAGAAAGTACAGGTGTAAATGACAGTCGTACTTCAGGCTGCATGAATGGTGGTCCGCCTTGAAAGATCTCTGAAAGAAACCATAGAAAAGTTGGTGCGCATTGCTAGATTACGAAGTCATCTTCGTTAATTATGGTTAGCAGCGTTGGAAGTGCTGCGCTCCAGCAAACCTAAATATTTGATTATTATTTGCACTTTTTCCATT